TTCTTATTTTTTCTCCATTCCCCTGCCCTCCCTTCAACCCCTCCATCCCTCCCTATTTACAGAGACTTTGTTTCCATTTTTTTATTTTCTCATATTAATTCCATTCCCTTCTTTCCTTTCCCCTACCCCTCCCACTTCCCCTTCCCCTTTGCCCCTCTTCTTCCTATTTCACATTATCTATTATACCTTTTAGTCCTTATTTACATTTTCAGTTTCTCACACTAGAGAAACTATCCTATCTTCTCTTTGGGTGATTTTCAAATGTGTAGGTTTGCCCTGAATCTATAATACGGAATAACTGCAGTCCAGGCCCTCATCACAGTAAGCAACCTTGGGTACTGCTGGCTGTTAGCTGTATCAAAATCATGATGCAAGCTAATGTTAGAAGGGTACCTGCCCACCCCAATGGAACCAAACAACCAAAGCTTGGTGCTTACCCCCGAGAATTGTGACTCCAAATGCACTAAGCACCCTGGACACTAAGTTGCTGCAGTGTTTTTTATAAGGATGGTGTTGAGCACCTGCCTCATGGAGACCCCAAATTTACCCTTCATGAAGACCCTGGAAAACTTCCCCTCAGGTCTGACAGCAAGCAAGAGCTTTGCTTTTCTCCGAGAATGCCTCTGCTCTGATCTTCCAAACACTTAAGAGTCTTGCAACTTTTTATTTGGCTGTAGAAAGATGGGAACCAAATTCAAGGCCCAACTATATTTATGTTGTGAGATTGTTATGGCTTATATCTAGATGTCCCCCCAAAGCCTCATGTGGTCATAGGTGGGGCTCTGGGAAGGTGGCTGGATCTAGGGAGTGTGAATGTGGACTAGGGTGTGATATTGGGATCAAAGGTGTGTTGTACTGGATTAGTTCACTGATTGGTTTAGCATAGTTCTAGGTGTGGGTAATAGGAAGCCCAGCCCTGGGTTTGGACGGCACCACCCAAAAGGTTTGTAGCCTGGATGAGATAAAAGGGAAAGGGAAGGGAAGTTTGTTGCTGCTGCTGCTTGCTGCTTGCTGCCTTCTGCCTGCCCTGCCACAAACTCTTTCTCCTCCATCATGCCCCTCTGTCATGCTGCACTGCCTTGGAGCCAGCTGACAATCGACTGAAACCTTTACAAACTGTGAGCTGAAATAAACTTTGGGTGTTGGGTATTTTGTTCCAGCAATAAGAAAAGTAACTAAGACAGAGATAGTACAGCATAAATTTCTATGCACTAAATCTCTTAGTGGTCTCATCTGCTCTTTACCTGTATTTCTTCTAAAATCCTCTTTATAAAGTCCTTTTCTTTATGATCTTGTTTTAATCATAATTATTTTACAAGCTACCATGCATCCTTTGGAAAGATGATGAGGTATTTGAATATGCAGATGTGTATAAATATGAATATTCAGGCAACAATTTGCGTGAGTTTAACTGTTTATTTGCATCACTCTTTATTATTCTGCTGTTAGATGCCGAACTCCTCCAGGGCAGAGGAGAGGACTGCCCTCTCCCAGTGCACTTCCAGGACAGCCTGGAGGTCACCTCTGTCCTACATGCATCCCATCAATTAGCTGACTGTGTTAGGGGCCTTGTATAAGAAATTGGTATCTCAAAACACTAGAAGCTCTGCAGTTTGGCAAATGCAAATCTTAAGAGATGTGCATAGGAATAGAAAAGGCCTTAGGGGCACCAACCCTCCAGCTTGGCACAAGCACCTGGGCCACAGTAGTGGGCAGATTCACCCAGTCTCAGTGAATTGCTGTCTTTCTTGCACTTTTAGCCAGCTACATATAAGAGAACTGAGTTCAACTAAATACTGTATGCATGTCCGAAGCAATCTAAAGGAGCTCTGCATGAGCCAAGTGAAAATACATTATCACCTCCTCCTTTTTATAGAGTCCTCAAGAAAAGTTCTTTTTCCTTTTTTTAACTTTAAAAAATTGTGGTAAAATATACATAATATGAAATTTAGCACTTTAGCTTCCTCCTTCTTCTTCCATGCTGGAGATGGAACCTAGGGCCTTGTGCATGCTAGACAAGTGCTCTGCTACTGAGCTGCAACCCTAGCCCCTAACTTAACCATTTTCAAGTGCACAGTCCAGCGGCATTAACCACATTCACATCACTGTGCTGTCATTGGCATCATTCATTTCCACAACTCTTCTCATCTTGGAAAAACTGAAATTCTGTGCCCATTAAAGACTAACTCTCCATTCTCTCCTCTAGCCCCAGTAAGTACCATTCTATTTAATCCCCCCAAAATTAACTATTCTTAGTACTCTATGTAAGTAGAATTACGCAGTATTTGCCTTTTGATGACTTCATCCATACTGTTGTGTGTGACAAGATTTCCTTCCTTTTTAAGGCTGATAATATGTATACCACATTTTCTTTATTCATTTATCCTCTGATGGATAGTTGGATTGTTTCCACCTCCTGGCTGTTGTGAATAATGGTTAAATGAACATGGGTGCACAAACCTCCCTTCACAAACTGGCTTTCAATTCT